AAGGTGTAACTCATACTTTGCTCACTGAAATGCTAGTGCAGTGGAGTGTGGCTAAGTGATATCCTCACATGCCTCCTCTCTGTAGCAGTCAGACTCCAGGAGAAGCAATGATTTCTTCTTAGAGAACACAGGGCAAAAAAATGCATCATGCCTCAGCTATATAAAAGCTACAAAACGATTAGCATTTTTACATATAAAATACACACATTTTTATAGAAAGTCAAAAAATTAGGTCAAAAAAGAGGATGTATCTTATTCAGTTAGATAACTTTGTTATCACCTCTTTGACTTTTACAGGCAAATCAAAACACTGGCAGTATTACTGCGAGTTGCCATTAACCCTCATGCTGATAAAAAAATAATCAAGTTAACTTGATTTTAAATGCTGAGCAAAAATCAGTACAAATATTGTCAAATTCAGTTTTAATTAGTGCTTATTTCAAACAAGAATAAACTACGCTCAGCTGACGTGATTCATATCTATCAAAGCCTTCAATAATGGCAAACAGGTTTAGAAGTTACCTAAAACCCTGAAGGAGCAGAACCCGGGAGCGTAAACATTTCCAGTTTTAACAGACATAAAACTGGAGTAAGTACAATTAAGGCTTTCTAAGAACCAATTCACACTGGTCACCCCAATCACTTCTATAGGACCGCAGGGGATGTTTACCTAGCTTCATGGTTCTTTCACTCTTATCACAAAGAACAAGATTTCACAGATTATCAGTTACCAAACTCCCCATCCTGCTCCTAAAAGGCAGCTGCAGCTCCTCTGCTGTAAAGTCAGAGCACTTCCAGGCAGAGCAGGAGCTTCCCACCCCTACCAGCCGGCACTCCCCCAGCACCATGTCACCACAGGCTCGCATGTCCCTCTACAGGACTGGGACACCAGCTGATGGCACACAGATGAGCTCTCAAGTTCTTCCACAAAACCCAGTGTTGCCTGCCCTACTCCTAACACTGGGCATCCAACCCCCATGGTTTTTTATTAATTGAAAAGAAGCATTTGATAGCAAAGTACTTTTACAGACAAATGTCTTCCCCATTTCTGTAACTTTGAAAAGACTGGATTTCATTAAAGAAACTAAAAATAAGAGAAAAAAATGTGGAACATATTTTCTAGAAAAGTAGGATTGCAGGATATCAGTCGGAAGAGAAACTCAAAAACATGAAGAGCTCTGGCTGTTTAACATCCAGTACATTTAAAAGCTTGACAGAGCTATAGCAGGGACTAAATACTGACATCTACCATTTTCTTCACTGAAGCATTGTTTAGGAGCAATTTGTAAATTTACACTTGTAACAAGCTTGCCATTTATAGTCCACCATACAAAGAAAGTAATTTTCTACAAGTACTTGTGACTGATCTGCCATAAAAGTTGAAAGGTGGTTAAAGCCATGAAATTTGGAAGAAACACTATCAGAATCTTCAAACAGCCTCCCTTCTGTAACCACAAAAACATTGCTGCCTCAGTAAAAACTGTAATACACCTGAAACACAGAAAACAGAACTGTCAAAAATGTTTCAAATTAAACAGTGAAACTTGGAAGATGAACAAAGCTGTAACGACCTTAAAGCACGTGTCAGATTACTATGGTACTAATGCTGTAGACACCACTATCCAGGACACACAACCACTTTAAAAATTAAATTCCCCCTTCACTCAGCCAATAAGTAAGGAAGTATATCTTTCTGAGGTTTTGGTAACTGGATTTGGCCAAAAGTAAATTACACCCCTACCCCTAAGAAACTGGGATAATATCTGAAATTTTTCTTTTTAAGTGTATGGAAATCAAATGGTTTAGTTTAAATATCAGTAAATAATTTTCAGTTTGTGCACTTTATTAGAAAAAAATATACAGGAGGTATCAAACCCCAAAAATGGACTGCTCTATTCTGTATATGAAAACTTAACCACCTTGCTTGCTGAGGTAAGAGAATCTGCTTCATACTGTTACTAATCATGTACAAAAATACAGTGGTGCTCAACACAAACTTACCTCTCCTTTTACTTGTCCTATTACCCTACCATATGCTGTTTTCACAGATGTTGTCTGCTTCTTTGCATATATTAAAATACAGGTTAGACTTAAAACAATGTTTTTATTGATTTAATGAATACCATGTCTGTCAGAGAAAGTATAGTCTACATGGGATAAGGAAATTTGAAGGCTGAAAATACACAGCCATTTTGAGGTGGAAGTACTGTCTTTTTCTAAATGAAGTAAGGAAAGTAGAGAATTTGCCACACGGAAACAGTTTTCATTTCTCCTCAGCTTTATGCCATGCAAAAAACAGTTTGGGTAGACACCACACAGAACTTCCACAGTTCCAACAAAAACATAACTATAATTACTGTGAAAGTACTACAGCTGCAGCTCACCTGTGTGCTCTGTAGTTGATAAACTGATAGGCAACAGGTTTCTTCAAAAGCCATCCATAGAGGTAGCAACAGTGTATTCAGTTATGGCAGCTAAATAAACACAAATAAACCTTCTGTCCTAAAGAAAACACAGTTTGACACATCCTCAACGAATAAAGAAAACAGGATCAAAACCTTTGGCCTAAGACTATAAAATACCTTTGATGAGATATCCAAAGTTTGGCTCATACTCAACAAAAGCTCTCCATTCCTAGCAAGCCACTTCCTTGCCTATCGTTACCTTAATTAATACAATGTGAGTTAATTTTCAAACTCTTTCTGCAAAAATACCAACAGAACAAAGCTAAGTCAAACAAGCCTTTCTTCAATAAACTCAGGTATGCAGACCTTGAAGTTTACAGCACAAATCCCACAATGACCTGCTTCTGACTTCCTGCCTGGCATTCATCAATAAGAAAAAGACCAGTTCTCCAAAGGACTCTGCTTCCCATGCTGGCCATCACCACGGGTAGCAGAAGTACATACCACAACAGCATAAAGACAGGGAGCAACACTTTCAGTGCTCAAAGGTGAAAATTTACTCAGATCTAATAAAAACCTTAGTGAAAACAAACACTAAATTTTTCATGCTTTGAAAATGCAGAGTCTCCAGATCACTTCCTAGTACAGCTCTTCTTACAAACATGTTATCATTGTCATCTTCTCTTCCTCTTCAGCAACACCTCCTTTCCAGCTTGCTGGCATACAAGCCTCACCTTCCAGCCCACTGCTTATTCTCCTTGCATAGGAGTAGCCTGCCTTGGTAACCTATTTAAGTCAGTTTTATGTGGCTGCAGAGGTTCAGTATTTATTGCCTATCTGCCAGGCTGAAAACTGACAGCTGTTTTCAGGGCACTGGTTCCCAAAGATACACAGTTCATTAAGAACTTGGACCAAAACCCTGGTAAAAGGCAACAAAGAAGCTTCATCCTCTCAGGATCTGGAAAGTTTAAGGACTTACAAAAGCAGCTTAGGTAGTTTCTATAATCAAACAGAAACCATACAAGCTCCAGACACGACATAGACTCATTGAAAATATTCTGACGGGTGGATGGGTGTAAAAACATTACAACATATTAAAAAGGTTTATACATTTTTATATTATAAGTTACCATGGCATGTTGAAAACTTCAGTGAGTTCTAGGTTTTAACTAGAGTTTGTGTTGTATAACTAATAGATTCTTTTTCAAAAAATTTATTTACCAGAGGACTATTACTATTTTTAGTATCAAATCTTCATTTTTTTAGTATTCTGGGGAAAGTAGAACTATTATGCATTTCACAGGGGGAAACAAAAAGTAATTTTATATGCCTTAAGCATAAAATTTTGCATCAGCTTTATTATTATTATTATCCCTAAGTAGTATTTTGAAAGAGCTTTCTGTTTATTAGGCAATCAACACCCACAACAATAATCTCATTCCTCTTGCAATCCCCAATGAAAAATACAAATGGTGTTATCCCTTATAATAGGTACCTGAATCAAATGCTTAGGATTATTCAACATATAGATTAAGACCCATCTTCTCCGACGGCTATTGTATCAATCTGTTCCTTACCATGCATTTATGATACAAGTATCAAAACAGAGCAAGTATAAAAAGTTTATCATACCTGGCAAAACAGTATCAATCCCAGGACAGGCCGTATTCGGGGGAAACTCATCTTCACCTCCCCCTTTTTCTAGTGTTATTGTAGGAATGGTTCTTGGGTAGTTACACATACTTAAACTAGACTGATGTATTACTATATTAGTATTGATTTTGTTTTAGAAACACCCTGCCCAAAGAATTTTTTGCACCAATCACCAAATAAAAAGTATTTCTACCTCTTTTGGTTTATTTTGTTCTATTGTTTCTTCACTCCCTGCATAGTGACCAACCAAAGAGACAACAATAAAGGTGTCCAGTTTCCTTAAATCTGCAGAAACATGAGGCTTTTCCAATACTCAAAGTATATTTTGCAAACCAACATACACTTTCAATGAGATTTTAGCTTGTAATTTGCTGTTAATATGACTCTGAAGGCCAGTTCTACACTGTGGTAATAGGTGATTAAAGGGAATCAAAACCTTTGGTGTAACTGAGAAATGTTCAGAATTCACATGGAGAAGGATGTGTAAGGGGGTGTTTAAGACTCAATACAAGTCACACAGACATCAGGAAAAGGAAAGAAGTGAGGCTTGCTCTGTGAGGAACAGAATCACACAATCTGCTACTAACCCCCTATTTTCATTTTCTACTTCCATTTCATCCTTTTAGTATCACATTCCATTTTTCCTCCTATAAGAAACTAAATAAACTGCCCTGCACTACTGGCAGAAGAAAATAACAAACAATTATTCCAGATTTCCAAAAACCCAGTTCCTTTTTAACTCTTCAGTACAATGCTTATGAAGAAAGGCATACATGTTATACAGCAGAGGATGAGAATCATCTTGGTTGGAAAAACCCAAAACATGATGACTTTGAATTGAAAGGTAAAGATTAAAATTGTAATGGATATGTGCTCCACAGTTATTAGAGTACAACAACGCTGTCCTTATGCTAGAGAAAACAGAGAAATAAGTTTACATACGCATCAGATGAAAGATCCCATCACAGGCGTTAATGTGAGACAAGAAGGAATTTCCTAAGCCTTGTCCAGTGTGGGCTCCTTTCACAAGGCCAGCAATATCCACCACATTCAGAAATGCTGGAATTTTGCTGAAATATGAAAGTCAGAAGTTTCATTACTGAAGCATATTAGTAAAAATTTTTTGGCACAGAAATAAATTCAGAACATGAAAATTCAACATTTCTTTTTTCTAGAACAAGTTAAACATCACACTATGGAACGTATTACAAAACTCGCCCCCCCTTGTAACCCTAACCCTTCTCTAACTTTTCTGTAAATACTTATGTAAAATTAAGTAAACTAATTTTGAAGTAAGTAAACTAGTTTTTTGGAACTATACAGACAACTATACAATAATCAACAAGCTTGGTTCAGCAGGCATAAAGTCTATAATGTGTAAGGCACAATTTTCACAGCACCAAAGGGATGAGACACACAAATGGCCATTGCACTCTGCTATCACATACCTCTAACGTTACCATTCAGTTCTTTAAGTTATGCAACTTTCTCAGAAGACAAGGGCATTTTTTTAATACAGTGGTGATTAAAACTAGCAGTGATCAAAGCAGAAAACAAGTTAAGATGAAGCTTGTATTATAATGTAAACAGTTGCAATGTTTTCCACCACAGTGAACAGCAAAGGGTTAAGCACACATGTCCACGTGACATTTTATACAGCAACAACACAACAGTCATGAAGTTCAAATTACCTGACACAAAAATGGAAAAAAGCTTTTAAACTAATGGAAAATGCATATAGAAATTTATAGACTACAAACCTTTTATCCTCTGCAAATTCTCAAGTTGTTTTAAAATTAGCAAATACCTTAACAGGCATTCATTTTTTCATGTGTACTCTAAAACGAATTACTTCTCAAAATCCAGCTCAGTCAGGAAAAAACAAACAAACAAACAAAAAACACGCTAAAACTTTGTGAAAAGGTGTTGACTAAAAGCACCTTCACATGGTCTACACAAATGACAATACCACCAAAAACAGACACACCGATGTGAAGGGTGTGACTTGTGCTCTGCAGCCTGTGGGAGCACAGAGTGCCAATTTGTAAAGCAGTGAGTGTCGGGTCTTATGGTGAGTGTTCTGTTTTAGCGTGAGTGTCTTCAACATGAGACTCAAATCTAAAGATATAAATTCTGTGGTCTACCTTAAGATGTCTTTTCCAAACACCTGCCTTTGCAGTGCTGCTCAGAGACAGAAGCAACCACTAAGATGGGAATGAGGGCTAGGGATGACCTAGCCAGTAACCTCCTAGACAGCCCTATACAAAAACCTTCTCTGAGCAGCATTACACTTCTGAAGTCTTTCCTGTCCACAGCCCAAATTGAGCTTTACTTTTTTTAGTGTGACAACTTGCTGATAAATACATTTTTTTTTTCAAATATTGAAATATTTGATGGTATGACTGCTGTCAAATCTGTAAGGGCAGGAAAATCCACTGGCATCAGAAAACAACTCTTTTCTTATCCCAGTGCCTGGTATGACAGCTATGGCCCAGACAGAAAAAAATGTAGTTATGGAAATCTATGGATCACTGTCTCTGCTCAGAGCAACTGGCTTAGGCTGAAAAAAAGTACATTTCCAACTTTTTTTTCCTTGGTGCTATCCCACTTCCACTTGACTGCAAATAGCACAACACATAGTTTAACATCAGCAGGTGCACCTCCTCACTTCAAATGTACTCCCTACTCTGGGAAGAGATGATCCACTAGAATCTGTCTTAATATGCAACACCAGTTATTTCTGGAAGAGTGGTAATCTAAAAGTTTTGTTTTCAATCTTGCTCTAACACTTCCCAAGACACATAATCTCTTCCAAGTAAAATAATTTCACAATACCAGATCACAATACAAAATACGAAATTTTTTTTTTACCAAGTTGAAGTTCAAAGTATCACTAAACCTGTCAGGTGTAATAAATTAGGAACTTAATGACATGTTTCATGGCGTTAATACCTTTGTGATGTGCTTAGAAAGAAGCATGAATACCCTGAAGGGTGATTTTGAAAAAACAGACACGAAAATATTTACAAAATCCAAGTACACAATATGCTGACTTTTAGCTTTAAACTTCACTAGGCCTATGAAAAGAAGGGCCTATCCTTGGGAAGACAAATATCACGTGCTGAATGTTAATGCTGTGGAATGCAGTAGAAAGAACATTAATATAAGAACATTCTGAAATAAACCAATTTTGCAAATTTCTCATTTTTGTCCCACTATGGTTTTCTTAGCAAACTACCTTTTTTTTTTTTAACTACCAGTACACAAACTAAGAAACAACAAATCCTTATCTAAGGCACTACCAAGAACGACTCACATTCTGAAGACAAAAGCCAGTAACTCCTATTGCCTGATATGAACACAAAGCTGACATACTTCAGAAGAAACAGCGGCCACTTCCCAGTCAGACTTGTTAGAACTCCTTGCTTTTTGACATATAACTAACTCAAAAGCAAGACAGAAAAACACTGCTCTTTAAAGCACTTCTCCATTGTCATTTAAACTGCTTTAAGAAAACCAGAGGTGGTGTTAGAAATGTTGTATGCTCCCCTCTCACCTTTCTGGTAGGATTAACTTCCTGACCAGCCATCAGAACAATTCACACTTTCTCTACAAAGATGCCACATTAGAGTAAGGCAGATACCTTCATATGCAGATGACCACCCTATCACCAGATTCAACCTCATTTGCTAGACAATGGGAAGAAACCACGGTACATTCATTTCACAGTTGACCAATACAATCAAGAGACCTTTGAAGTATCCGGGTTTCCAGGACGTTTTCTCACCTTCACTTCGGGTACCACAAAGCTAACATTCCAAGCAAATTAATACTATCCCCACTCCTACGTTTAAATATCTGTTTCATCACAGAAAGATGAATACCGAGAAAAGCAGACAAAGGCACAAGCTAGTCACACCTTCCTGTACTCCAAAGGACAAACAGTAAACATCATGAAACTAAATAAAGAGAAAACACTGCACACAATGGTGGGAAAGTATCGTATACCTCAAATATGGTTATTGAAGACTTAACTGGATTGTTCTATTTTCTTTTTTCCTCCTTCTCTAAACAAATTAATTTCCATTTCTTAAGATTCGTTAGTCAGCATTAGCATAATGTCACTGAGCCTCAAATGATCATCAGAAACAGGTGGCATCAGCAGATCATTTGTACAAATCAGTGCAACACCAACCTACCATAAAGCACGTCACAAGAATTTATAGTAATTGTATGAATAGTATGAAACAGAATACCCAAAGTATTCTGAAGTATTTCAGAAGTATCTCTGTATTTTAATCACAGGTATAATCCTTGAGCAAGGATTTTTTACCTCACTTAGACAGCAACAGTGGGTTTGTGTTAGTGTCCTACCTTCACTGTATAAGCAACCGTGCAGTAAAGAGCACAAAGACTCGCTGGGCCAGACCAAGTTCAGTTTTGTAGTTCAGTGGTTACAGTTTTCATTGAGGACTAAGAGGCTTACACCATCCATAGGGTTACACATTTTACAGGGGATGAGGCCTATTTTTCACCAACTTGGTTTCAAATTTCACTTCAAACTTCAGTCCAAAACAGTTATTTAAACAGGCAAGAGGAGTTTCTTTACCTGACCTGTTGTCCAGCACAGCAGTTCTGAATGGTACAATGCAGTCAGTTACCTATTTGCTTCTAAAATGCACACATATATGGTATCTCTAATTTGTTGTGAGTATTGTTTTTCTAAAATTTGAAGGGAAGAGGCATACATTTATTTCTTGGGTTTCCACTAGTAATTGCTTTGTAGTAATCTCTGGTTCTCTCCCTGGGTTTTTTACACTTCTAGGTTTCCACAATCTCTCTTCAACAGTGCAAACAAAACCCCATTAGTTTCTCTGCAGCATTTGCTACAGTTTACTTAAATTTCACATCCACCACAAGACCCTGGAAAGTCACATGACAGCTTCAAGTAAATTCAAAGTGCAGCAGTTTTCCAGTAAGCCTAGATGATAATACTCATAACATACTTCTTACTCATGTCTTCAATAGTTCAAGAACTTTCTCTCAACTCAAACTCTACCTAATCCTATAGGACCCACATACCAAAAAGGCCAGATTCTTCAGTATTAAGGTATAATGTCCAGCTTCCCTTTCTCTTTGGTAAAGCCAAATGTGCCACTCATCTCCTAATTCCAGCATAGCCTCTTCCGCCTTTAAAAGTATCTATGTTAAATCTGTTAGAAAAGAAATTATTCTTCTTTCCTGAAAATTCATACAACTTAAGTGAGAGTCATCTATTAAGAGTTCACAAATGACCTGAAGTAAAAGTAGCAACATAGGAGAGCATGTATATCGTGATAAACTCTTAGAGAGCCATTGAACTTTCAGCATGTCCTCACTGCTATTTTTGGCTCATTTCCAAACAGAAATGAACAGTTCAAAAAGCCTCCCTCTTCCAGGAGGCTGTATTCCCGCTTACAACTTCTGCAATCAATCTTGCAAGCAGTTTTGACCAATGTAAGCAAAATCCCTCACTGGGCAATTAAAGGAATCTGCTTCTGAAGAACTAGGTACTGCAGATGAACCCTGATTATTTCTATGCAAGAATGATTTCATTAATAGCATTTTATCCATGGTACTGACAAACAAGACTTGAACCTAATGGCACATGAACCAGAAGTGAAAAAACCGCTAATTAAATTGCACTTACATGAATCATAAAAAGGTAAGAGATTCAATGTGGATTACAACACATAGTCTGTGTCCTGTATATATCAAACACCTATTCAGTAAGTTATTACACCAACAAAATACAACTAATGAAATTTTGCCTTCTCCCATCAGGCAGAAAAGATGGCTTGAGTCACCAGTACTTAAGGTCTTTCATTAACTGCTGGCAAATTTGCAATGCTAGAACATACATCGCAGCCCAGCTGATTTACACAGGCTCAGAACCAACTGAAGAGCAGGCAAATTCAGTGACACCAAAGGAAGAAGAACATTAACAACAGGATATACGTGCCAATTTTCAGTCGTTTTCGGTAAAAAATGGGATTGCTTGGATGTGCTTACAGATGCTGATATGTTAGTTACATCCAGCTAAGTTATTGGTGTCTCACTCTGGAATTACAGGTGGTTTCCATTTACATAAATGCTCTTCTTAAATCTAGATTAAGTCCCACATGATGTCACTCAGAAAGTCCCACTGCTGATCTCATCTCTACATAACGCTTTCCAGCAACTGATTAATAATTCTGACTTTAAAACTTTATCAAGTATCTGAGTATGCTGTCATATAATGATAGTCCTATCCTACAGTGAGCTGAAGGGAACTTTTACCTAATATTGCAGAGGACTTTCAGGACCTAGACAGCAATGGAAATTACTCAGATTTAGTTCAGTAACCATCGCTTGATCACTAAAGATCTGAATGCATGAATTTTTATCAGCCTACAATGCACCAGAACAAACCAAAGCAATCTGCTGACAAGAAGAACAGAGATCCTGAAGTATAATGGGCAGTGCTAGAGTTGAAGAGGGGTAGTTGCAATTTATGTATTATCCTCCTTTGAGATAACCAGGACTGCTTTAAAATTTAAGTTTGAAAAGTACATCCAAGATAGATTAAAAACAGACTGAAATAGAAATGTTTGGGGGTGCAATAAGTTGTGTGTTTTGTGAGCACGTATGTGCAAGACAACTCACCCATTTACAGGTGCAAACAAGGAATGAAACAAATATTGACAGTTTTAAAGCAGTTTGGTTCATCCTTTCCCACTTTACTCATTTCTGCTTATAATCTCATTTGATTTTAACTAAGGGAGGAAGTAGAAACATAGACTTCAAAATCACCTTTTTTACTAATGTTTTCACGCAAGTTGATTACTCTCAGCCAATACAGTCCTTCAGATGTAACTATTTACAGTCAGGCTGTAGATTAGTTAGCTTAGGCTTACAGTGCTTCTTCCTGAGTACTTCTTTTAGTTAATCATGTAGCTTAAGGTAAGGAAGGAAGAAAGAATGCAAATATTTGCAGTGAGGAGTTTATCTGGGGCACAAAATAAATAAACTAAAGAGGACATTGCAGTTTCCTTCACCCTCTCAGTCAAAATCATTTTCAGGCTTGAATCAAATGCCCTGAGGCACATCTCCTGGTCAGGCACAGCACACTACAGCTGTTGGCAGTAGGCAGGTCCGTATGGGCCAAGCCCAGTGGGTACATATAGTCAGAGGCTTTCAAGTTATGACACAAATCACTTGTTCAAATTACATGAGTTAGAAATACTTTTTAGGGTAAGTACGTCGAACTTTAACGTGATTAAGTAGCATTTGAATTAAATTTAGAAGAAAAAATACAAGAAAATAACTTTATTAAAGCTTTTATTAAGTTAATAAAATTTTAGATGTACTACACTCAGTTCTTTTATTCTCTGAGACACAATGTCCCATAAAATATTAACTGCAGATAATAGATCAAGTGTTTCTGGCTTCCATGTCACAACTTTCATTGCAGGAGTTACCTGTTCAGATGATAAACTCCTCTTTTCCATTTTAGAATTAACAAATCTAATAGCCTCTGATACCTACTTAGGATTCATAAATTAGCTGGGGGGAAGGGGAAAATACACCTTTCTGCTTTAGTTCCTGCTGAAGTGAATCAGTCTAAAGAAAATATTCTCTTTCCAATTAGTAAACTGGAACTAATCCAATCATTAGTCTGTCAAACCCTGCCTGAAAGTACCTGTGTTGGGGGAACAGGGGTAGGAGGACAACAAAATAAAAAACCAGCAGTCACCTTTCTGAAAAAGCTACATGCAGGCACAATGTCACAAATATGAGTTTTCACTGAATATTGCAGTAAATATAACACAAACAAATAAATATATACATTAAATTAGTAACATAATATAAACAAAGACCTTAAAATAACAAGCATTAAGAACTGGTTTTAGCAGATTAAGTTTTCTTCTTTTTTGTAATAACCACAATTTCATTCACGCCAAAAAGCAAGCAATAGATAACATTAAAGCTCAAAGAAATTTGCTCATCTATATCATTTGGTAACAACATAGCATTTTTTACTGGAAGTTCTTGGAGCCCACCTTCTGTGTACAGTCTATATCACTGAACTTATCTACTGTCAACAGTCATATACATATACATCATATACATCCAACTGCTGCAGAAATAAAAAAATGCACAGGTTACAAGTTCTGGCACTGCACTTTAATCTACTAAGTACAGATTTTAACTGTGCATAATAGTCTCTAAATTGTTGCCTACATGACTTCATTTACAAACATTTCCATTTCCAACCAAGTAATACCAGTCAGCTTTCACACTGGCTAGCAAGTAGCACATCAGTCCCAACTAAGCTGATGCTCTCTTCCTTTGGAGAGACAAATGGATCTTCAAGCAATAAACAGTACCTGAAGAGTCTAACTCTTCCTCCAGTGGCAGAACAGCCCCTAACTCATACCAGCAACATCCTTGGCAATAGTCAGTCTCCCTGTAGCAGCAGCAATCTCAGTTTAGTGTGACAGTCAGCAGCTGCCAGCCCAGCCCTCTCCTGCTCTTCCCTCCACTGGCTCACAGCAGGCACCAACACACGATCACTTTGGCCTGTCATACATTATTTTAGTTAAAAAAAAGTCATCCCTTCCCCCCCAATGATGTCTGCAGTTATGTGAAGACTTAGTGCAACACATGGAAAATAAAAACCTGAATGCTTTAGATTTTGAAAGACAAAATCTTGAGGCTAGACAAGAGTCTAATTTAAAGAGAATTCACTGTTTATAAAACATTCTGCGTGCACAGATGGATTACGTCTACTAATCCAAACAAGCACAAAATTAACATAGGATGTGTTACATAAAGATGAAGAACAAAATCAAGACTATACAGAGAAATTAAGATATTTAAATTACAATTCAGTAGCATATCTTTGTGACTGTAGCCTTCTTTTCCTGAGTTCGTCTCAGGCAGACAAGCCCAAAAACCCAGTAAGTTACCTCAGGCTACTGTGCTGCTGAATTATCACTATCACTGCTTTATTACTGTTACAGTGAAATATTAAACTCATATAAGCAGCCTAAGTGACCTCAGGAGCTATAACTATCCACTAATACCCACACTCATTGACTGTAAGTACCAGAATCATGGCTAGGCTTCGTGAACAAAGATTTGGGAAGGACTCTACCCACATTTGCTGCAAGCGCACCGGTGGCTAAAAAGGCCAATGCGAGATAGACAAGTCCGGTTGCAAAAGGGAAATAAGTACCAAATACTGCCAAAAAGCATTCAAATGAAAACTGATTATCCAGCTCATTATAAAGTGAATACAGATTGAGCAAATAAACTATTTTCATCAATATTTAAGAGTGATGAGAGAGAGGAAAAAAAGAGCAAGGGAAGGAATTTTCAAGTCTGAGAACACATGTACAAGTATTCACAATCTTTACATGTGTCCTTGTAAGGTGAAATGGCCTAAGGCAGGTGAGGGAGAGGTAACAATCTCTTTGTCACTTCAATTAGTAATTCAGAAACAGCCATTTATAGTTAAGTGAGAAGAAAAAGAGATTATTGAAGTGGTCAGAGTGGCACTAATACTACAATTTAGAAGAGATTTGTCAACAAAACTTAAAGACTACACCATTATCTCTGCACAATCAACAGCCTGAAAGTTTTGTCTCTAATTCAGCAGTTCTGTTTTTGTGATCCATACAGTAACAAGTATGCTTAATGTTGACTTGGGCAGGAAAAGCAAGATAACATGTTATAACAATCCACATAAACAAACAGCTTTGTATCAATGCAGTATTTAAAAAGTGCACAATAATTACAGACAGAAGTAGCTTGTTTGGACCTGAAAATTAAGTGTCAGTATATGGATTTTTCATTAGCAACTGATCAATCTTCTTTTTAATTGTGGTTGTGACCTGCCTCTAAAGTTGAGGCCCAGGTGTTGAACAAATGCACAGACATACACGCTAGTTTGCCCTATGGTTTATGTACACACACTTTATTCAAGATACCTCTGCAAGTAATTGCAAACTAAAATTACTGACTCACAAGTCCTTATTAAAGTATGTTTTCTGAAAGCACCTTAAATTTTGGTGTTAAAGAAAAAAAAATTCCCACACTGAACATATAGAGCAGATTACAGAAACAGTCAACAGCAGAAACCATTGATGGGACAAAATTAATACACTCCTAGAATAATGACAGAATCAGAAGAGACGTAGTGTTAAGAATATCCCTGAATATATCAAGTAACAAGTAGCAGAGCCTATTAAAACAGGAGAAAAGTCACAGGCAAAAAAGGCTGCCCATAAATCTTCCTGCCAAATGACTGAGGACAAGGATGCAGGGATGTTGGCAGGTATTGGCTACCTACAGCATGTACAATACTCCAAATGATACAAAATACATGGTGGAAATCTTAGAAATTAGCAACCTCCTGACATGTTAGGTATGTCCACTACTGTTCATTTTCCAAATCTCTTCAGAATCCTTCAAGTCACCTGGGAGCACCCAGCTTCAAAGACAGGACCACCAAGCACCAAACGGTGCTGAGCAGTGACTAGCAGCTCCCACATTTATCATTCTCATACAACAAAAGTCATACTGGGGGCATGGGAAAGGTAAAATCCAGGTACACACGTAATTTCACATTCTAAAAGAGATGTCAGTAAAAACTTAAAGATATTACAGTTGTACTAAACTTTGATGAAAACTTTTAGTTCCACAGTACTACTTTAGCTGCTTAACTGAAGAAAAATGTTAAGAATTTGAGTTACCTTGGAGGTTTGTGATACTGGCATAGGAAGTCAAATCTGTCATCTGGCACAGGTACTCGACTCTCATTTGGATCAATAGTACAGAAAGGGAAATTTTCTGCTGCTGCTTGACTCTTAGTTAACACATTGAAAAATGTTGATTTCCTGTAAATGAAACACACACATTCTTGAAGAAGTCTAATTTAGAAGCATTTAAAATGACTGGATAAAAACACATCTTATTCCAACTTGAAATCAATACTGAGCTTTCCCTTTACTTCAGTGACAGTGACCATTCCCCTGACTCTAGCAGAAGACATTCTTAAATATGTATCTGGAGTATCTCACTGAAACCCAATGATGTTTACCTCTCTTCCCTACCCTTCAAAATTCCCTCGAGTAACTATATTGCACATGCCTATTAGCAAATATAAGTCACAAGCAATGTACAGCCCTACTGACCATTTTTCATTTTCCTCAAGTACAAAGTGAGACACCCATAAGAATGCTTGAAATTAATTTTGAACTCGTTTTGCCATGACTCACCAGCTCTTTCCACAAGTGCATTGTTCCTTCAGATTTATTTACATAGTAACACAATTTCAGTATCTAAGCAATAAAAGTCAACAATCAAAAAAGAGAAAAAAGGGGCACAGAAAACAAACCACAACAGTTAATCAGTTACAAGTAACTGTTTGTGCATATGAAGATACAGTTATACCTGACCAAACCTTCTTCATCCTTGTTAAATATCAGTGGGAAAAGCCTACAAGTGTTCTATCAGGAAAAAAGAGAACACTTTCCCTTAAACCAAGTAGCAGATTACTTTGCTAGCTGGCATTTATTACACCAAAAGAGAGCAATTCTTGAGTTATTGCTCAGAGAACGTTCTTTATCAACTCCCAAATCTTCTACCATAAATATTCAGGTTGTTGTGGGTTTTTATTTGTTTGCTAGGGTTTTTTTGTTGCACACAACTTCTCAGCCACTGGGAAGAAAAAAACCTGAGCGCTGCCCTGCATATGGCTGACATGCACAAAAGTCACAATTTTCTTTGAAAGTTACACCAAAACATAACCACAAATGCTATTTATCCCCATTAACATGCTGTACAGCGTTACTCCTAATTATTTCCTTTATGGAGTGCATCTTACCTGCATCTACCTGAAAAATAAAATAAATGATGATGAAAAGACAAGAAAGCAATGTTCATGGCTTCGAGACATGGCACAAAAGCTTTTCCTCTAAGTTTTTAAAGATTTAAAGTTTTGAGATACTGAAAACTTCTCTTAGTAAATACGACGTATGAATTAATACCAAAAAGTTACACAGTTATATTCTCGAAGTAACCAATTCATCATCTTTTTCGAGTATAGCTCCTCTGAGGAGCTCTAACAACTACAGCTGAGAATCATGACAGAATCAAGGATTCACCTTCCATCATCTCTCCCAAACTGTCATTTACACAACATGTTTCATTACAAACTCTGAAGAAGCTTCAAGAAAAGAAGTTCTCTTCACTGTTAATGACACTTATGAATAATTAATCCATTCCTGTGCAGATCATCCCCAAACAGAAACTTGCAGGCACGTGTTCCTATGTATTTGCATGAAAACATACATCACACACACACAACAGCGGAAGCAAGGAAGCGCAAAACACATACTGTTTTATAAAAGTCAGCAATTGCTAAGACTCGTCCTTTCTTTGAATCCTTGACTACTATCTTGTCCAGACTTGTGCATACCTGTCTCTCGCTACCTGTTTTACGTGGCTCCACCTGTAAGCAGCTCCAGCTAAAGATGGAAGTCTATCACCGAACAGTAAGACTCGGACTGTGTCCCTCAGCTCGTATCCCCACCCGCCTTCACCCAGAGACCGCGTCGGGTCGCTCTGCCCGGCGAGGGGCAAACCCGGGACCCCGCTGCCCGCTCCCCGCCACCACCTACCCCACGTTCGGCAGCCCAACGATCCCGATCTTCAGGGACGTCCCGAACCGTCCGATGATCGGGTGCGACTTGACCCCATCGCCTCCCTTCTTCGGGGGCATCTGAAAGCACAGAGCAAGGCACGCTGAGCTCCCCGCGACACTCCCGCGCACCCTCCCCGCCCCGTCCCCTCCCGGCGCGGCGGCCCAGCCGGGGCCTCCGCCTCCAGCAGGCCGCGCAGAGACGCCCGCGCTGCAGTGCCGGGCGGGGCTGCGGCGGTGCCGGGGGTCCCGGCGGCGGTGCCGGGGCGGGGCGGGCGGTCCCGCTCACCTCGGCCCGGCCCGGCCCCGCCGCGCAGCAAACGCGCCCGTGGACCCTCGCACGCGGACACGCCGGCGGAAGGGGCGGTGCCGCGCGCGGCCATTGGCCGGGAGCGGCGTGAGGGGAAAGGTCGCGCCGGGGGCGGTGCCGAGGGAGCGCTCCCGCCCCGCCCCCTGCGGCCCCCGCGCCGGCCCCGCCCCCTCACAGCCCCCGGGCGGAAATGGGGACGGGTGGGGAGGCGCTGAGGCACAAAGGGTAACGCTCTTGGCTGCGAGCAGGGACGCGGGCACAAATCGCAGAATCAATGAGGTTGCAAAAGACCTCTGAGGTCATCGAGTCCAACCTATGACCGAACACCACGTTGTCAACCAGACCATGGCATTCGGTGCCTTTCCTTAAACACCTAGAGGGACGGTGACTCCACCACCTTGGGCAGCCCGTTCCAATGTCTAATCACCCTTTCTGGGAAGAAGTTTGTCCTAATGTCCAACCTAACTCCTGGTGCAGCTGAAGGCTATATCCTCTCGGCACTATTTGCCTGCGAGAAGAGACCGACCCCCACCTGGCTACAACCTTCTTTCGCGTACTTGTAAAAAGCTGTAAGGTCACCCCTGAGCCTCCTCTTTTCTAGATTAGTGTCCTGGTCTTCTGTTTCCCAACCTAACAATCCTGCACCAGAGCAGGAAGCACTGGAAAGCTGAAATACCCAGTGCCCAGAGAAGCACCCTAGGCATCCATATGCTTTTGGGATTCAAAAGAGCGCTGGTAGTTGGACCCACCACTAGATTTTTGTTCATGCTTATCTAGATATTTATAAAGATGGTCAAGAGGAGACCATTACAAACACATTGGGATTTATTTATAACTATTTACATAGGAAATCGATAAAATAATCTAGGAATAAAATAGATTTCATTAAGAAAAGATGAAACATTTAGAATCTATAAAAATTAATTTTGGAATGTTACAGAAGTGAGACTGGGACTCTTAAACAAAACTAGACATTTTCTTTAACTCAGACGCTGCCTCTCTGAACCATTAAAGACAGGCACCATCAAGTGTTGCCTGCTAAGAAAATTGAAGGAGAGAAGACAGTAAAAACTGTTCTTATAGCATGTCCTATTTTAAGTCCATAAGATAAAATTCTCAAAACTTGAAAAACACCAGAGTGAAGGAGTCAAGGTGAGAGTATCATCAGATTATATATCATCTCTATCACAATAAAAGGAATATAATCTTGAGCATTTATTTAAATCCTTCTTTTTTTTTCTTTTTCTTTCCTTTTTTTTAAGAAAGGACACTTTAACTAACCCTAATTTGATATTGTACATAAAAAATGGCTATTACAACTTTTTTATTCAGTGACATGAGATTTTTGCAACAATAATGTTGAGGAAGAGAATGCTGTGTCTGTTAGCATAGTATTAGTACTATTAGTACAGTGAAAATAACAATCAGTTCTTGCTGGTAATATGCTTATGTGGTCTTTCTACTGTCTTAAGATCTATCACTACACATTTAAGAGGAGAAAAAAAAGAATATCAACCATCTAATTCAGATTAATATACATTTACTTAACTGTTGAATAAAGCTAATGTATTAATACACCAAACATTCAGAAATATTGAAATTAACAGAAATTATTTATAAATAAATGCAGAGGAGCTCCTGCATCCTTCACATCCCTAGATTACAAACTTCAGTAATCAAATTTAGTTTCCTTTTCAGGAATGGAATAAACACATCCTAATTTTCCACCCTTCTGAAGTTCAAGACACTTTTATCCATACTTGTCCTGAAAGTAGGGTTATGCAAGACTGTTTCACAGCAACAGTAAGAGATGGATTAGTTCTATTAATAAGATCACAAACTGTCTGAAAGACTATTTTTGGGGAGCTTTTCTGTTTATTAAATTTTTTCACCATCCTAACATTTTGTCAGACAATGTTGTTGTCCAGTCTAGGCATGATAGCTCTCAGAAGATAAACTTTTTGACTGTCTTCTTAAAATAAAAATATTTAACTGTGCTAAAGTTGGTATTTATGTGGCAGCCGATCAAGTCTAACTTTTTTTGCTTAGCAGTTCATAAGCACAATACAGACACAAGCAGTTCGATACATTAAGAAGTGTGTGTGTGTACACACAAATAATAGAGCCTACAACAGGTATAATTCTGATTGGGGAAAACAGCTGAACTCTGGAAGACAAACAAAATTAAGATCCTGACTGCTTTTGTTGCTGTACTTCAATAAGACTACATATGGTACTGAAGTCAATGCTGTGTGTGCAAAAATTTGCAAGTTTGAATATAAGTTTTTAATTTATGCTCTTCATACAACATACTGTAATAATGCCCACCCCTCTCGCCCTCCCTCCGGTCTCTATACCCAGTTTACTGTTAGCATGGCCACTTCACTAAATACAGATACAGGACTTCAAAGCATTTGATTCCTTCAGGTAGAAATCGACTCTTGGCAAGGTAACACTTCATCTTACATGCTTTTGATTTTGAGTTGCTTTTAAAGTCAAGGTTTGCCTTACTTGGCTGAATATTTCTATCCAAATCTGTCATAATGGTGAAGACCTCATTTTAAACCGGCATACGTAGTTTAAACCATAATAACCTTGACCATATTACATTTAAAATGTGTTTTATAAGCTTAATGGGAAAAAAAACCCCACAGACATCTAGAGAGCAATCATCTCAATGTCAACTCTCCAACACAGAAGTACTGCACAAATACAGCTTATTGTACAGCTGGAACACGTGCAGAAGTCAAAGAGCCCTGGAGCAACTCTACCTGATTAAAAACAATGTTTAAGGGACAGTAATAAAACAAACACTTTGTTGTTTCTGCCACCAACACACTCTTTGCTTTTTGCTGCCCAGAACATATATTTACAGCAGAGTCACTGTTAACTGCAAAAATAAGTGGTTCTGTATAACTGAAAGAATAAAGACAGAGTCCCTGATCCTTGCTGTGACCAGGCAATGTTCAGTGCAACCCAGGGGGTGAGAAAAACAGAGCTGCTTTTGCACACCACCACTCTGAATTACCTGGGCCTCTGCCACTTGGAGGGCACTGGATGACTCCCTGTAATAAATACACTCAGTGCTAAAAAGAAACAGTATTCAAGGGCAGGTCTAAACTAAATGGTGTTCATCGAGTTCTGTGAAGTTTAAAGGTAGTCATCACCCAGCTGAACTGTGCTCGAATACAATATTTTTAAATATTATGTGGTTTTCCTTTTAACTGTGGATTCGGGCAGTTTCATAGAGAATTTAACCTTATTCCATTCTTTATACACTTAAATTCATTCTTTGCATTTTATGCTTAGTCATTTTCATGCTTTGGTATTCTGGTAACTGTCCTTATTTTAAGACCAGTAACAGATTGTTAATGATGTTAATGCTGCCCCAAAATTGGTCAGGATTGCTGTGGTGGCATAAAGCATCTCTCACCCCTTTCTGCAATATCCCAGACTTTGTCAGTCTAGAAGCATATAGCACAGAACAGTCTGATCTGCCACATATTATTAATATTTCTAGATCATGAGTCTGGAAATATCAGCTGAATTTCGTAACTTTAATGTGGACAATATGTCACTAACAGACATAACGCATACTGAGAAGTTCATAGTGAGAACAGTGAGAGAGATTAGCTCATAGGAAGAGAGAGAAAGCCAAGAAGAGAGAGGTTCTATAGTAGGAGAAATGACCTGTGAATTAATTAAATTTTAGTTCAAAAGTTACAGGTCTACTTTGAATATTTCAGTAGCTTAGCAAAATGAGAGTCCCAATATAAAATAAAAATATTTTTATGATTAATACTAATAAAAACAGAGAAAAAAGCCTTAAATTGGGAATAATCATGAGGTGAGCAATACTAGGCTTTTTCTAGGCTTCCAGGCAGTTAGGACCATTCTAGCATGATCATCTTTTTTCTACAAATTAAACCATAACACATGAAAGAACTGTTAAAAGAAAATAAATAGTAATAGTCTAAGAAAAAGGGTTAGATTTCATTTTATTTAGTGCTGTGAATGATAGCACTTAATTGTGGATTAATCAGGATGCTTGATCATCAAACAACTAAGTTTGAGAAAGGAACATAAGTATTAAATACTTCTTGTGCCTTGAAGGGTATTACTGAACACGGAAGAAGTTTCTCTAATCTACAAATAGGAAGAGTTCTGTCTCTGAATTTGGGATATACCTGTATACCTATAAGCAAAAACAAAAATCAAGCCAAAAAGAACCCACCATAGCCCACCCTGCAAGAATGCTGACTAGGAATAAACCCACTGAAGGACTTATTCTTGAACCTGTTTTCTATATTAGGGCATGTTCAGCAGCCTGGAAGATACCTGCAACAAAGAAACCTTACGGAAAATAAACTTTTCCATAATTCGCTCTAACCTCTACCATTTTGTGTGAGGTGAAAGTTTGAAGTTACAATTTAGAAAGCTAAAATACCATAATATTTGGCATTTAATCTAGATTATTGACTGGTTGCAGCTAAATGTCTATGCAAGAATAGCAGACTTTTGCTAGCTTTCAAAGACATTTCATCTTTCTCTTCTAGGGCACAACAATGTTTGTAACATTTTTAGGATAGATACAATGACTTCATATATTGAACACAGTAGAAAGAAGTATGGAGAGATCTGGATAATTGAACTCAAAAATGTCATCTGAGGAAGAAGACCATGAACCTCATTCTGGGCCTAATGCAGGCTGAACAGTTATATTCTAGCCTGATAAGATACATCGTATTTTGATGGAAGAACAAGCTGAGCTTCTTAACATACTACATAAGTGATAACTAATGTTTTATATATTAAATATGGGCAAAATGACTGTAAAATGAAAACCAAACAAAATATTGAAGTACATCATGCAGCAATTCTGGAAGTGTTTTAAATGTTATCTATATTGTATTTATTTTACTTTATAACTTCAGGTTGTAATGTATTTTATAACATGAAGAGTTCAGATAAAACTCAATAATATTCATCTACATTTCTAGCAGTTGAGAAAAAGAGTTACTCATGGGAAATAGTTAGGACACCATTTGCAAAATAGCGAAGAATT